GTTGTATAAGGACCAATCAAGTGTGCAGGTTTTCAACCCCTAATTTGTCAGCCTCAAGAGATATCCATCCCTACCTATCAAGATATCTCCGCTCCTAATTATGGCTCATTTGTTGCTATGCTTTTTACTTCTCTTTCGGCTGTCATGAAACGGTGGGAGGGGGGAATCTTCGAAGGGAAGAAGGCAGGAGGTGTTTTGCATTCCTTTGCTGGGTAAGGAAAGGGAGGGGGGATTCTTTGTTGTAACTTTCCATTTCTCACTAACCTCTGTCCTCTTTTATGCGCAACTGCGAACTTTTATCAAAATATGTCAAGGTCACTGACAGTAGCCTCATCATCACCTAGAGATGACCACATGATCCTATTCAGAAGTTTTAATTGGAAGAATCATTTGATATCTGGAGGGGGGGGAGCAATTCTATCCCTTTGTATATGCATTTTACCCGCCAATATTTTAGTTTCGGAATTGATTCTGTTTGCTACCATTCATTTTCCAGTAAAAGATAAATTCTGCTCTACACCATGGAGTCTGAGTATTTCTTTCTTGGGATTTAGAAGGAGCACAGTCTGACATTATTCCGAAACTCTAAATACATCAACCCACCCGGAGAAAACAGCAACTTTCTTCCGAGGGGGCTTCATCTCATGTCGTGTCCAGCCAGCGATGAAGAGGACCAGGGAGCTGTGGGGGGGCAGCCTTTATTGCTGCCAGAGATGCCGGCTGCTGATTTACTGGCCGACCTGACTCTGGAAGAAACCCCAGCTGAGATGCCCAGATGGTCGTTGGGGGTTGGTTGGAGAGATCGGGACGACCCCCCTCCTCCCAGAATCACTGTAAGATGAAGAGGTGCAAAGGAACGGCTGTGGCAGGAGGGGGAGGAGATGGAATGCAGGCTGGATCAAGGCGGCAGATTCCTTATGGATGCTTCTGAAAAGCCCGGCACGGCTCAAAGGTATGAGGGGGAAGAGGGAGCGAAGTCAGCCCGGAGAAGTCAAGCCAACCCCACCCCCCTAGCCCAACCTACGCCGGTGCAGCCACCCGCGGCCGCCTGGGGAGCCCCAGCAATAGGTGTGCTTCCTGGAAGGCGCCCCCTGCCTCCCTTAGATGTGAAATTTGGAGGAAATCCCAGAGACTTGGGGTTTTTCCTGGTGCAAGTGGGAAGCTACATGGCAGAATTTGAAAGGGAGTTCATTTCTGAAGCAGCCAAAGTGAGATGTGTCACCAGGACCCTGGAAGGGATGGCAGCAGACTGGGTGGTGACTTTGTTCAATGATAACTCCCCCCAACTGCGAAACCTCGATGTTTTCATGACTGCATTGAGGAGAAGATTTGAAGACCCCCTGGCAGAGAGAAGGGCTAGAATAAAAATGAAAACCTTGACCCAAGGGGGGAGATCGGTGGCAGATTACACCCAGGAGTTCAGGCAGTTGGTCTCCTGTCTCCGAGGTTGGCCCCAAGAGGCCCTGGTGGAAACCTACAAAGACGGCTTAAATGAAGATGTATACCACATGTGCATCTCCCGGAAGGATCCACGTGATTTGCAGTCATGGTACTTGCTGGCGGAAGAGGTGGATATTGATCTGGCTCGAAACAGACGCAGAAGGGGCCCTGGCTGGAGAAATCAAAAAACCCCATGCCCCCAAGAGGCCTCCACTCCCCAAAGAGGAGGGATGGCAGCAAGAGCCAAGACCACAGCCTGTTTCCGTTGCAGGAAAGAGGGCCACCGGATGGCGGAGTGCCGAGTCAAGTTGGTCCCACCAAAACCGCAGGGTCCAGGGACGAAGCCCGGTAAACCCCCAACCAAGCCCCGCGAGACCGGACTGAAGGCGAGGGAGGTTGTAGAGGTCGCCTTTCCGGCGGGGGAGGAGCTGGGACCTCCAACCTTACTCGACGAGACCGATTCGGAGGATGACGCCTCGGTAAGTCCTACCCAGGGGCCCATGACCATCCCAATAAAGTTAAGGGACCCTACATCGGGGACCGAGGGAGAGATGTTGGCCTTGTTGGACTCGGGGTGCACGAGGTGTGTAATTAACATGAAAGTAGTTAAAGACATGGGCATCGGACTGAGAACCTTGAAAACGCCCATAGCTTTCTGTCAATTGGACGGATCTGTGGCGGGAGGTAGCCCGGCAAGCTTTATAACGGAACCCTTAGAAATGACCATGGGAACTCACCGCGAGATTTTGTGCTTTATTGTGGCCCCTGGGATGGAACAGCCTTTAATACTGGGACTACCTTGGCTTCGGAAATGGAACCCCCACATAAACTGGAGGGAAGGGTGGATACGCATCCGCACCGATCGCCCACCGGAAGGGGAGGAGCCCCACTCTCGGGAGGGGGAGGAGAAGCCCCATCCGAAGCCCCAAGTTCCGGCCGAGGCAGCTTCCGCAGGTGTCGAACGAGTGGAGGGGGAGGAGAAAATCCCGAAGGAATACTGGGACTTAAGAGAAGTGTTTAGTGAAAAAGCCTCTGACGAGCTCCCTCCCCATCGATCAACCGATTGCAGCATCGAATTTCTACCGGGGGTAACGCTCCCGAAACCGAAGCTGTATCCGATGACACCGGGGGAGCTGGAAGAACTGAGAGCGTTCATCGACAAAAACCTGAAACGTGGTTTCATCACGCCTGCCAGACCCCGAGTGGCGGCCCCTGTAATGTTCCGCGAGAAGAAAGATGGCTCAAAACGTTTGGTAGTGGACTATAGAAATTTAAACGCCGTGTCGGTGGAGAATATGTACCCCCTCCCCCTGATGAAGGACATGATAGCCCACCTGGCGAAGGGGAAGATTTTCACAAAGTTGGACTTGAGGGAGGCATACTACAGGATCCGAATTAAGAAAGGCGATGAGTGGAAGACTGCGTTCAACTGCCCGATGGGTTGCTTCCAGTTCAACGTTCTTCCTTTCGGCCTACAGGGGGCGCCCGCTGTTTTCATGCAAATGATAAATCAAGTGCTCCACGAACATCTATACAAGGGGGTTCTGGTCTACCTTGATGATATTCTCATCTACACGGAGAATAAAGACGAACATGTGAAACTCGTACGCTCGGTGTTGCACAAGTTGAGGGCAGCCAAACTGTACGCCAAACTGTCCAAGTGTGAGTTCCATCAAGAAAAAATCGACTACTTGGGATATCGTATCTCTCCCGAGGGCATCGAGATGGATCCAGAGAAAGTGCGAGCTGTATTGGAATGCCCCCCCCCCCGAGAACCCGGAAGCAACTTCAAAGTTTTCTTGGGTTTGCCAACTTCTATTGGCAATTCATCCCGTCTTTTGCAAAAATAGCAATGCCCATCACCAACCTCCTGAAGACAAAGGGGGAAGCGAAACCAAAACCCAGCCAACCGTTGAACTGGTCCATGGAATGCCAAGCCGCATTTGAAAAGCTAAAAAGACTTTTCGCTGCAGAACCAGTATTGAAACACCCCGACATGGATGCCCCTTTCGTGATCCAAGCTGATGCAAGCGATGTGGCGGTGGGGGCGGTCTTACTTCAATTAAATGAGAAGGGGACACTACAGCCGTGTGCTTATACCTCCCGTAAATTGACTGACACTGAAAGGAGATGGGCCGTCTGGGAGAAGGAAGCTTTTGCAGTCCGTTGGGCTCTACTAACCTGGAGACAATTTTTGGAAGGAGCGAAACATCCATTTGAGGTATGGACGGACCATAAAAATCTGGAAGCTTTAAAGACTCCTCGAAAGCTATCTCCTAAGCAGGTTAGGTGGGCTCAGTTTTTCAAGCGATTCAATTTCTCGTTGAAGTATATCCCAGGGGGAAAAAATTTTATGGCGGATGCTTTGTCTAGAATGCCTCAATACAACAGTATCCGAAAAGAAGTGGTAAGACCAATCGTGTCCACTACACAGTTGGCTGCTCCTGTAATTACCAGAGCACAAAAAAGAGACCAGGAGAGGGATCTGTCCACTGACCTGATGGAACGATTTAAAGAGGCTTTGAAAACAGATGAGTGATTCCTAGCAAATGCGAATAATTGCACTATTCGAGATGGTGTAGCCTGGATAGGTGCAAAATTGTATGTACCCCAAATCCTGAGAAGCCAAGTTTTACAACAAACGCATGATTCTAAAGCGGCTGGTCATTTTGGGTTTGTGAAGACTCTACATTTGATGAAACGACAGTTCTGGTGGCCTTCGCTGAAAAAGGACATTGAGACTTATGTGGCGAGCTGTCCAGTTTGTGCTTCAGCGAAAAGGCCGCCTGGTAAACCACCAGGTTTGTTGCAGAATGTGGCCAGGCCAACGGCACCTTGGAAGGAAATTTCCATGGACTTTATAGTAGATCTACCCGAGAGTGTTGGACACACTGTCATTTGGGTAGTGACTGATTTGTTTTCCAAACAAGCTCATTTCATCCCTTGCTCTAAGATTCCTTCAGCGAAATCATTGGCCAGAATGTTCATTATACATGTCTACAGGTTGCATGGCGTTCCTGAGCGTGTAGTTTCTGATCGGGGGGTCCAATTTACCTCGAACTTTTGGAGAGAATTCTTGAAATTGATAGGCTCCACCCAGAGCCTAAGCTCCGCCCATCATCCCCAAACTAATGGTGCCTGTGAGAGTACAAACGGGGTGTTAGAACAGTACCTCAGATGTTATATAAACTATCAGCAAGATAATTGGGTGGATTTACTGCCTTTTGCGGAGGTGGCGTATAATAATTCTGTACACAGTAGTACGGGATTTACTCCTTTCAAAGTAGCCACGGGACAAGATTTTGTGCCCATACCTGAACTGCCTCGAGAAAACCCCACTATCCAATTGTTGGACGATTGGATATCTAAGCTTCAACAAAATTGGCCGGTCGTTCGCAAAGCTCTGGACGAGGCACACCAATC